AAGAATTCAGCCCACAACAAAATGTATTAATTCCCCTTCCTAGATGCTTAATTACCCTCACAAGGAGAACAGAAACCTAATTTGAAATTGTACATCCAAGGAAACAGGCACTAAACATTTGAGAACAGTGAACTCCACAATAACTGTGTCCTTGTACAATCAAAGACCAGGAGGTTGCACAGCTAAGCCTGTACTATTCCAAAGCACTAAGGAGCACTTGCTGACCTGTAACTGTTCACAGCTTTACCCTGACTTGGATTTGTCCAACGCTTTTTATGCAAATCTTAAACATATTATTTAATTTTTTTCCTTAATGCATGATCAAAGTAGATTGCTGTTATTCCAGCTCAGCAAGTTCACCATATTAATGCATTAATATATTCTTTGGGAATACATGGTTTTGAACACGAAGGCACTCTGCTGCAGTGAGCTGCATAATTTAAAACCAACAGAAGTATTTGGTGTGGGATGAGGTATTTAAGTATAAACACTGACTACACAATTAGTTGACAAATACTTATTGCAAACATCGAGCTATGTTAAATCAACGCTGCGTGATAAAACAATACTGCAGATTTCATTGTAAATGTTCAAATGAAAATAGAAACCACAGAAAAGAAGAAGCTAAAAAAGGAGAAGCATTATGGAGCACAGTTTAGGCAATGCTACATGAAAGGTTATAAATAAAGCAAAGCACACTTGTCTACTTTTACTCATTTTAACCATCAAGAGAAGTAACTTCATGAAGTCATGTTTTTTCTTGCATCAGTCATTAAAACTCCAAAACACACTACAACTCCAAATCACAACTTCTATCAATACTGGTGTTCCTCCCTCCTTATAAAAATTAAACCACTAATTAGGACAGTACATATTAAAAAGCAGTACAACCAAAGAAGGCTACAGTGTCAAAAGCTGCAGTGCGATGCACTGCTTTAGTTTCACATCTGTTTGTTATTCACACAAAAACAAGCATGAAAACCACAGCTGAAGTTACCAGACCAAAAGCAGGCTGGGAATCGAATTCCCTTTAGCCTGCCACAATGAACCCTCACTTTCTGTTCTGAGCTGTTGGAGGGCTGCAGGTGGTGATGCAGCTGACCCTCATCCCTGTTAACAACAAGAGCTGCCACATAACCTTTCCAAACTCCAGTCCCAAGAGAAATACCGCTAGGAATACTGTTCACATGGAGGAGCTAACAAGTTAACAGAACACTATGGTCTGTAGAGCTAACCAGGAGAGTGTGGAGTGCTTCTGTCTCTAACTTGCTTTACCTTCAGACAAGGCTGCGGTTGGCCTGCAGCTCCAGTGCAGAAGAAGACAACCCTTTCACTACCCCAACTCTGTACTTGTGAGGGGGCATTTGCAAGGAGCACATTCTCTAAGCAGCAGCATGAAAAACACAGTACCTTGCTTGTACCTTCCCATTCAGAGCATGTGAGCAGAATGGAAGCTGAGAGGCAGGGAAATACAGCTGGATTGCTTTTCAGATACAACAAATATACTCCATAGGCATCTACTTCCTTGAATGGAAAAACCAAAAAGACCCCACAGATATTTCGCTCAAAATAGATTGAAAACTGAGAGACTTTGTGTTTGATTTGCTTGCCTGAAAACCTGTTCTTCCTTGTTTATTCCTAACAAACTTTAGCAAACAGCAACAATACTTCAGTCAAAGAGGTGACATGGCTTTCTGCAAGGGAAATTCAGATATTCTGGAATTTGTTCACATAACCTTCATTTGAGATATTCAAAACAATTACTTTTTTGGGTGGCCAAAAAGGAGATCAATTTGAGAGAATTAGGGAGAAGGCTGAGCATGAACTCCCAGGTTGGCAGGTAACAAGCTATCCCTTTCATAGGAAACAGATTTTATCTATGGAAGGGTTTAAATCATATTTCAAGAAGAATGATAAAAATTAAACAAAGGCTATTCAGCACCTTTGAGTCTAAAGTAATTTCAGTTCCCTTTAAAGTTACGAAATCAAAATAGCACTGTGAGCACAAATTCAAAGTAAAGTGTATTTCTATTTTGCAAATAAAAATTATGCAGCATTATTAATATATTCTAAACGGATCTCCACATAATCTTCATCTGGAAGCATCATAACCTCACTGGTAAATATTTGAGTGGTTAAATAGGACTTCTCCTCTCAGGGTTCGATAAAGATTTAAGAAAAAAGAAGTACTTTTCACATGATTTAGTCAGTATGCACTTGCCCCTTTTTAAAATCAAGAATTATTGAGAAGAACTTTCAACTGGTTTCCACCCTTTACTTTGTCTAGCTATAATTTTTTCTTGTTGTTGTTAAAAGAAAGGATGACCTAGAAAAGTTTCATTTCCTTCCTAAAGCACAGATGACTAAATCAGCTAGCTATGCAAAAGCCATAAACATATTCACAATGAGTAGTTAAGGAGTAATATATTATCTTCAGAAAACAGTAAAAAACTGAATCTTTTACATTCACTTGATGCAGCTTCCTAAGTCAGGTAAAGGTCAGATGCATTTTTTTTTTTCAGAGAAATTATACAAAGTATTTTTCCTCACAAAAGCACTGTGACAAGTAAAACTGCAATAAATTTCAGCTATTTGGTATTAAATTGCTCAATCCTTTTAAATCTCTCATCGAAGTCATCCTTTTTAATGCAGTCAGGAGAATGAGCAATGACTGAAGCAGACAAGCCTTGTAATGAAACTCACTACCTGGGAGGGTGGAAGACACAAGAACTAAACAAAAATAGACAGCAAGTAAGTGGTGAAATCAAAATTGCATTAAGCAAATATTTGTAAATAAATGTTTCTCAGAAGTTTATATTCTTATTTACTAAACTAGATGATTTTTGGGGTTTTTTTGCATAAGCTTTACTCGTTCCATGCTTTTCTTCTTCATTTTAACACTTATTTTGGGGAAAAAAAACTCCAAAAAACAAAACCACGCTCTAACCATATGAGAACACTTGAACTTTCTCGAGATTCCATCTTTCTTGGACTGTTTACAATTAACCTAAAGAAACCACTTATGGTGAGACATTCTTTAGGAGTAAGAAGAAGGCATCTGGCTTTTCTCTACTCCTTTATCAAGTGTTTGGAGGTTCAGAGGTATTTACTAGTATGAACTACACTTCTCTAATTGCCTGCCCATTCTTGAGGGAATTGCTAATTAAGCAGACACTTGCAAACCTTGTACACCATTGCATGGAGGTAATACCCAGATAAGGAATTGCAGAAGAATACAGTAAACCATTCCTTTGTTCACCAGCTAAGCCTTTCTGGGATACCTCAACAGCATCCTGAGTCAGCCATCTAAGTATTTTCTCCTGTTTCTAATAAGTTAAACTTTTCAGGCAAAACCAGCCAACATTCAGATGCGAGGAAGGAGTGGATTTTCTGCACTGGAGGCCTCTTGGGTTTACATTTCTAGGTAGGGCTTCAGGTCCCTTGCTGCAGTGACCCAAAGACTGAGCAAGACATTTTGGCACAGATAGTATTTCACTACTCCTCCTCCTCCTCCCCTGTGCACTCTGCCATTTACAGCTCATGGCCCTTCCTCACCTCGTGGGCAGCCAGAGGAGGCAATGGAAGCCAGCACAGAACCTTGGGGTGCCTGTCCTGGCTGCCACAGCTGCCCTCAGCTTTTAAGGAAAACCTGCTGTGCCCTCTGGTGCCAAGGTTCCAACAATAGGAGGTACTCACTGTCTGGAGTCTGGGGAGACCCAGACCAGGTGATATGGAGATAAGTGAAGCAGCAGGGCCCCTGGATACTTGTCATGCACATTTCTTTTCATCCCCTCTACTGGGCTTCTGTCCACATCCTTCTCTGGCACTAGATGATCTTTGTAGGCCCCTTCCAGCTGAAATATTCCATGCTATTAACACTAAATCAGCCACCCCAAACTAGTACCAAACAAGCCCCTCTAGAAACTCAAGACGTTAAAATACATTCAAGCAGAGCACTCAAAAAAAACTGGAATAATCCTGTGCTTGTTGATGACATTATCATTTGTTTCACAAAAGCCTGCAACGCCCATAATTTTTGAAAACACAACTCTCTGGATCTTCCAGCCTGAAAGTCCAGGTCTAAATTAGATTATCCTGCATTCTTTGTTTGACTTATTGGGTAAAAGCTGGTGGATTTGGTGTACTGCTGATCAGCAAGCAAGCTTGAAGCTGGTTTGTAGAAGGCAGCAGGAGCCACGTCTTGCTTGTAGAGAGTCAAACCAGGTATCTTTTGTCCTCTTAAAGTTACAATTCCCAAACACCTTTTGCATGCTTGCAAGTTTCCTAAAATAGTGTCTGCCTCTTAAAATACCCCTTCCTCTCCGGAACTAAAAGGGGGGGTTCAGTTCTAAAATGGTTCCTTTATGTCTGGGCAAAATTACCAGCCTCTATAGTCTCCTGCTTTGTGGCATAAATAGCCTATTTCTGGTTTATAAGTAGCAAACAATGAAAAGAAACAAATGTTTGATTTACTGAAATACAGCCTAAAAAAACAATCCCACCTTCCAGCATTTTATTTTAATGGCATCCAAAAATACCAAAGTGACTGAAATGCAAAGGACAATGCAAAACAATATTTTAAGTACTATTAGCAAACATATCAGAGGCCCAAAACTGAGGCCCTATTGCCAAGAAGGAATAGCAACTGGATAAAAATTAACTTTCAAATAAAAACATTGAACTCATTGCTGACTTTGGTACCAAAACACAGTTAAGGGTATTACCCTTCTGATTTGTGCTAGACTACTAAAATGATGCTGGCTTACAACCACATAAATCAGCAGACCTATGTTGACTTCTTCCTCTGATATGCTCCCTTTTTCTAAAACCAGAAGACAAGCCAAAACTAATCCAAAGGAATGGATTTGCTCTTTTAATTTATTTTTCTAGAACCGAACCTCAGCAAGACCACAATTTATTCTATAGTGCTGGGTTTGACTTCTCTTTTTCTAGGTAAGCACATTTCACAAGGGCAAATTCTACTTTAAAGTGTTACTTACAGATTGCCAAGCTAGAGACTCCATAATTCGATGTTCACAGTGTTCTAGATGCTTTATCATTTCCCGTGTTAGGCTGGGTTCCGCTCTAATAAAGCTTTCAATCACCTTGTAGAAGTCAAAAGCTTTTAAATCAAATACATTCAGAATCCATGGGAAAGACAAGTCTGTTTCAGCACTGGTACTGTCACTTTGTGAAGCATTTCCTGAAGGGAAAACAGACTAAAATTATCACATATTCTACATTCTTCAACTTTTGATGTTTTTTCCTTTTTGTATTCATTGAATCATTCCTAGCTCAGACATTTCAGTGAGTTGCTTTTTGTGTTTTGGGCAGTTTTTTTGCTATTTATATTAGAACAGATAGTAATAACTACCAATAAGTAACAATGTAATTAAGGATTTGAGATTTAACTTACTGCCATAGGTAGCCATGACAACCTCAACAGCACATGCCAGAAGAGATGTGTGGAAGATGTTATCATTCAGAAGTTTGCTGAAGAGAAAGGAAGTTATTAGTACTTGACCCAAGACTTCAAATAGCAGACTTCAATAACAAGTTAGGGGCAAGTACCTGAAATTTTGCACTGAGAGGCGCTCTTCCTCCTGAAATAAATAAATCAGACCAAATTTGTGAATATTCTTAGTAATTCCAGAGGTACTGCCAGTACTGAGATAGCAGCACTAAACTTACCGACTTCAGCATGGACTCCATTACTCTGTAATAGAGACGCACTCCAAGCTTGTACCTCTGTTAGAATGAGAAGTTCAGGAATATTACAAGAAGTTTTGACAGAATGCAACAGGCAGACTCTTGTGTTTTTACAATCCAGAACATTCCAGTTTTTGACAGAGCCACTATAAATAAGTTACTGTCCCCAGTTCCACTGGTCAGTAACACTGGACAGGCCTCAAGGATTACTAAGGTGTGCGACTACCCCAACCACGTGAAGATTTAACCAAGTGTAACAACACCAATTGTGTTCACACTGATTCACAGCTAACAGGATAAGAAAGCAGGGTTGACAGACAGGAAGGAGACTGTCGAGTACAAACTTGGTTGGGTTTATTTTCCAAAATCCTTGTTGAAAGCACAGCTGCTCTCCTGACTTTATAAGGAAGTGAGTCACCTTTGGCAGTTTAAGGCCAAGTTAGCCTAATGAATGCAAATATACGTTTCACTTAATGCATTTTGCCCAAAAAATTTTTCCATTCTTCAGTAAAGTACTTCCAACATATTTCCACCCAAATCCTATTTCTCCTTACATATTAAGAGGAATTTCTCACATGCTATCTTTACAGTGCTTCCTCAACCTGAAAAGCATACTGTTACTTTTTACCTTTACTGATCTACAATGAATGAGGACAGTCAGTGAGTCAGGTCTCACACCAGCTAGTGCTAACAGAGCTCGAGTGAGTGATATTCAACCCAAATACTTACCTGTGAGCCAATTTCAGCCCATCCCTGTCCAACTGCTTCAGCAAATTTCTTTTTGAAGATGTGGTCAAAACTTTCCACTCTTTTCAGGATGCTATCCTTAGGGTTCACTGTGCAATTCTAAAAAAGTACAGGAAACAAATTAGTGGAAGGAAAGACAAAGAAAAGGCATTTTACTTCAAAAACATATCAGTGATTTAAATGATTAAAAGTCCAGCTTCCCTTTGTAACACCTTTCAATAAGGTCATTAGCATAAATAAAAATGGAGTATTTAAAAGAGTGCTGTACATCTTTCTATCTTTTGTTTCCCTTCTATACCCCCTTGCTTTTCCATTCAATACACACATAAAAGAATTTTAATATGTTGCTTAGTAACTGAAGTATTTAAGCACTTAAAAGGTTCCTCCACACAACAATTAGAGAGAAATGCTTTCTAAAATGACTGATTACGTTTAAACCAACCCAAATAAAATGTACTTTTTCAAAAACATGCATCAGATCTACAGGTGTATATTTTGCTTGAGTGGTAATTCCAAGAATCTTACACAAATCTTCTTTGTAGTCACTTACATTGAAGTACTTGATGAGAATATCTGATGGTTTATCAGCTGCTGAGTTTAAAATCATAATCAACTGCTGAATGTTATTCATTGCCGCTCTGGAAAAACACAATAAAATGCATAATAAGCATTATGGTTGGCTTGACAGTTTCCAGAAAATGAACAGCAAATCCACACACCAAAAAAATTATGATTGCAGTTCTCACTCCAGTTATCAAACAAACTGTTCAGGAACATCTACTGCACTGTAGTAACGACTATGAATTCTAACAATGCAATTTATCGACTTATTAACACATGGGTTGTGATAATTTTAATAACCAAAGAATGGCTTAACACCTAAGAAATAGCTTGATTCCTCTATGGTATTGTTACTTCCTGAATTTTTCATTGCTGTTTTTGGTTTTAAGTAGAATTTTGTGTGTTTGTGTCACGGTTTAACGTAGTTTAGTTTTTAGTTAAAGAAAAAAAAAAATCCAGGAGTTACGGACGTGATTCCCTGTAAGGACCTTGGCAGCTTCCTTTGGACCTGACAGAACCAGTCAGCTGGCTAGTTTCGAATATTGACACTCTGTTAAACCACTTACGAGAGCTGAATATGCCTGTGAAATCACATTAAAAGACGAACAAGCCCCGGGAAAAGCTCTCTGCTTCCAGCCTTTGAACAGGTGACTGGACCTTGGCTGGGCCGCTCTGCTGCGCGGCCGGGCCCTGCTCTGCTGCTGCCAAGTTCCAGCCACGGCCGGAGGGCCAGGCTGGCTCTCCTCGGCTTCGGGTGGAGCAGAGCTGGGCCCCGCTCCGCCCGTGAGCTGCTCAGCCATCCTGCTGGCACCATGGAAAAGAGAGCAGAGGCAGCCCTGCAGCCCCGCGGCTGGAATTGGCTGTGGCAGGGCTGGAAAACAGCCATGCAGCCAGAGCGGCCACTGCCCGGCAGAGAGCACATCACCATCCACAGGCTCGGGCAACACACTAACTCTCTCAGTGCACAGATGAAACTTGCAGGCATCAATCCTCTCTCAAGCGACAGAAAAAGGAAAGGGTGAAGACACGTAGAGAAAACAACACGGAGACGCCGAGGTTAGTAAAGAAGGAGTCAAATCCCAGATGGAAGGAGAATGAGGAGATGCCTACGTCTTGTGCTGATATCGTCTTGTAAGGCTATGGGGAAGATATAATTGATACATCAGACTTTTTTTTCCCCTGTAACTCATGGAATGCATTGGGGGGATGTAGTGTTCTAACCACAGCCATGAGCACCCAAGCAAATGTTGAAGTAACTGTGCTCCAATGAGAAGCTTGAACCGAGAAAGATGAAAAATATGAGAAACCTTGCCCCAGCACAGAAGAAGAAAACCTCTGTTCCCAGAGATAAAACAAGATAACTTTTTATTTCTATACTAGAACAGCTCATTCTTAAAATTGTACCCCAACAAGCTGAAATGCCCCATGATGGTAGCCGTGGGGAGACTACCAAACCGTGGGAGGGGACTTCACGGTTGCAGATTTTCCGGGCAGCTGCTATTTGTGAAAATTAAAACCATAAGAGAACTGTTTCTTGTGGAAAAGTCTCCATGGCATGGCAAGAGAGACTCCTCCCCTTAAGTGAACTGAAAAAAAAAGACTATTTTAGAGGTGGTATATTCACTGAAAGTTCCAGGTTTTGTCTCTTTACATTGTCAGTGGAAAGGCAAGAAGAGTTGGGGAAGGAGAAGTGTTCTGAAGGTTTATGAAGGTTTATTCTGATTTCTTTTTTTTTAGTTCTGTTAAAGTTTTATGTATACCCTTTAGAGTTTTAAGCCTGCTTTGCTCTCCTCCTAATCCTTATCTCACAGCAGAAAATGAGTAAATAATTCTAATGGGTGCACTGACGTTTGGCCAGCCCACTAGAGTTAGTCTGTTTCAAATTTCTATATCATTTAACCTCAATTTGGCTTATATCACCAGTCAAGTAAGTGGAAACCCAACAAAAATGCGTTCAATCATTGCAACAGAATGCATTTTTCTTTAATCTACTTTTTACAAAGCATTGGTAAAAATCACTTCTGCCACAAATCTTCTAATGATAAGGAAAAGCATAAGAACACTGGAAAAACATAAAATGAAAACATGCAAACCCCTTCTCATTATACTCAAAACTAATACTTACACCCTTTTAATACAATAATTTTCACATAAATGACCAGATGCAAATCCACTGATAAAAATTACTACATTCTCTGCAGTTTCAAGGGGCTTTAAAGCAGATTCTATAAATCTAGGTTCAGAAATATGACACTGTAAGGCAACTCAAAGAAATAAGCATGGTGCTTTCAGCTTATACTAAACAGGGTACTTAATACAATATTTAATCAGGGAGAGATAAGGATACACTTTCCACTCTAAGCTGGTGATCAAACCTTTGCTGCCACCTATTGACACTTCTTTGGCTTCATAAAAAACAGTTAACTACAGCCCAAAATCATTACTGGTGAACAGGCCTTCACATGAATTGTCTTAAATAGCAACAGTTTTGGAAAAATCAGAGCAAAGCCCAAGTGAGAATAGAAAGAATCTAAACATCCCTAGACTTTTTCTCAAGAACAAAGTTGGTGTAGCACATTTCAAATTTTTAGCAATGCAGAAACTTCATACTCCTGGACTCTCCTAATGTCAAGAACTTTAAGGAAGCATCTTTGCCATCTTTGTATCTACCATAAATAAAAAAGTATCAGTGATCAGACCTACAGTATAGTTTATGGCGAAAAAAAACCAACAAAAACAAGGCCACAGTTCCTTAAAAATTAAAAAAAGACTACTCTAAAGATGAATATTTTTAGCTATGATATTAAACAAAAGAAGACATTCAAGAGAAAAACTCATACCGAACAGGAGTCTGTGGAAGTATAACATTGATTTCCTCATCTGGATTGTTTTTTAGTGGTGTCCTCTCCAACTGTGAGCTACAGAAATGGAAAACAAACTTATCAAAGACTAATACAATTCAAAATACATTGTTTTCTATTAAGACTTATTAATCTGAAGAGAAAAATATGTAACAGATTTTTAGAAGATCTAGATGTCCAATTACTCCAGTTGTTTAAATTCCCAAGTAGATCTGCTTTGAGCAGGATGTTGGACTAAATAACCTGCAAAGTTTCCTTCCAAGCTTTTTTTCTATTCTAGAATTCTATTTACAAACAGGTTAATTTATATGCAGAGATGGTATAAGTTGCATTTTAATCCCATTTTAAATTCGTGTATTTTCATGGCATAGATAAATTCAGACTCACATGGTGAGCTCACATTAAATTACAGAGATATTGAATTGTCAGCAACCACTAGCATATAAGTATAGAACTGAAAAAAAAAATTAAATCAAACAATCATAGAATGGTTTGGGTTGGAAAGGACCTTAGAAGGCCATCTAATCCCATCCACCTTCAATGATCAAGGACATCTTCAACCAAATGGGGGTCCTCAGAGCCCTGTCCAGCCTAACCTTGAATGTTCCCAGGATGGGGCATCCACCACCCAAACCATTCAGTGCCAGCTGATCCAGAGCCATAACACTACCTCTGGCAAGCTGGCATGACATGCCTCCTCCTCAGCTTTCCCTGGATGAAAAGGGCCTTGCACAGAGGAAGAGCCAGAGCAGAGCTTCCAAATCATTTTAGGCAGTCACAGTCATATGCTCCCTCATTATTTAAGTGATGATGTAAAGCAAGGCTGGTGATGTCAGAAATACCTTAGCTGAACTACAAAGCTAGTAGGTCAACAGGACAGGGAGATCTCCATTTTTAACACAAGGGGGCAGAGAGCAACACAAGTTTGCACTCTCTGTTATGAAATGAAAGCAGTAAATGGAAATATTACCATGCAATGACATCAGGCTGCAGAGTCTCGTCATGATTCAGAAATAGTCTCGCATCTATATCTTTGTTCTTGAGATAGAGCTCGTCATACTGTTTCAAGATAACTTCAACCTCAAAAAGACATTGAAAAAACCCTGATTTTATTTTACATGAACAAGTTTTACAATCTACTGAATAACGTAAGTTATTCCTACCTCATGATTCCAGTGGTGAAATGCTAAAAGAATTACTGAAACATACGCAGAGGAAAATTACTGTTTGTAAGAGAAAACAATCCAAGATGATAAGAATTTTTTTTGCGAAATGTAGGTCTTGACACTGTAAAAATAGCTAGATTAGAAAACAGACCTGCAATCCAAACTAACATTTCCACATTTTTAAATCTTTTCTTCTAGAAAAAGGGATGTCTCCAAGAGCAGGAAATGTAAAATGCTTGCTCTTAGAACAGCTGTTGGGCAATTGGCTCAGTCCCTGTCTTTGCAGGTTTGGACAACAAGGCTTAAACTCAAACCTTTTTTTTTCCTCAGTAGAAGTTTCCTCATTTTATATTAATATATTTGCACTGGAGTAGAAATGCCTATTGCTACAAAAATAGACTTATTTCATAGCCACACTGTAGTTTTTTTACTAACTGTTAAAAGTTTCTTAGTTGACTAAATCCCAGAATGATACAACTTCACTTAGCATGGATAAGTTTATTGGGTTTTTCTGAATGTTTTTTAATTACTTCTTTTTATTTTTACTTTGAGTGACTAACATTAACTGGAAGTCTGCAATTTTTTTTATCTGGCCCTCCAAATCTGCTGCTGTGCTCATGCAAAAGTATGCAGCCACCTCAATTATCTGCTCCCTGAGCCCTTGGATTTATTAAATGATGCTGTGCTCTGGCAAACTCCAACTAGAAAAACAGGCAACAATGCATATGAACCCAAATTAGTCCCCTCTCAGTCTCAAGAGAGAGAAAGCTGCAAATACATCCTATGCAGCTTTGCTCCTTACCCTCTTCTTTACCTTTGCCAAATGGATTTGCTCCAATCTGATTTCACAATTAAAACTTTGAGATTAGGCCTATTAAACCAAAGACTATATTTCAATTCTCATTGTCACTATACTTTTTTTTAACTTAATTATATATTCATTTTTTGTTATCTTCTTAATGGCTTATGCATTCTTTTCATCTAAAATATTTCAGTATTTCATAAATTTCTAAATAAATCAGCAGCTCTTAGACAGGATGGCTGTACTAAGCTAACTTGGAAGAAACCTTCAGCCAAAAATAAGAGTTCTGTATCATTAATGCATAATGCCTGACCAGTAAACACGTGAAAAGAGAAGCATAATACCAACATTAAGCCTCAAAAGCTTTTCTTGCTCTGAAAGGAACATCAAAATTTTTCAAAAGCTCGGTGTTTTTTTATCAAAGTCAATGTAAGTGTACCACATTACTAGCTATTGTACTGATGATCTCCATGATTTTGGTTAGCTGATTACATGTATGTACCAATTACCTCTGAAATACAGCTCTAACTTTCTGCTCTGGCACTCAAGGTTAAGGAGCAAAGATCATGTTTTTTCTTCCAATGCATCCTTTTGTAAAAGTGTCACCAGCAAGTCATATGCTAATAATTTTGATATCGTGCTTAAATTGAGCAGCCTTGGATGAAAATCCTCTGATTTGAGAATAAGCTGTATAATGACCTTTATCTGGAAGTTCATATAGGGTTTCCCAACTATACATACACAAATAAATTAAGAAGTCTAAACAGCCTACTAATATCCTGGAATTAATTTAGGAAGAGATTAAGATCTTCAGCGAGTCCTGTACTTTGTTCCCCACCCAGCACACTATGACACTGAACAGAAGCCACATTTGATTGAACCCTGCAGACTCATTGCTCTGATCAGCTTCAGAGCTGCTTATTTTCATGTTACCACATCTATTGGTGACACACAGCTAAACCTACACTTTTAATAATGATGAATGTAAACACACTGCAAGAAGTTACCTATTAAAATGTACTCTGGATGCAGTTGCATAGAGGGAGAGTCTGCTGCATCCAGGCAACAGCTCAGCAAGATGAAAGTAATTTTGCACAGACACAGCAGTCCAAACTCTGCCAAGTTGTGAAACTGAGACTAATCTTCAGACTATCTTTCCAACAACACTACTATAACATGTCTCATTTATATTTAAATTAAGGTGTGTAATATAAGACTTTAAGCATTTATAGTGACTTCAGAGACCTAGTATTGTAATAGTTGTATATTAGATGAATGGCCTTACCAAGATCATGGATATGCAACTCTTACATTTTGCTTGGAGCAAAAGCTTTTTGCTTTGAGCATAGCCTCAGGAGATTAATTTATTAAATTCAAAAGTATAAGCTAAATATACTTTATGAATACTGGAACCCCTGCTAGCCCACATTCCTAAAAAACCGTTCATTTTGCTACATGATTTTAGAAGAACCTATTAGAACTCCACCAATGGGTAAACGGTATCTTAAGCAATTTGGCACGAAGTAAAACACAGTTGAGCTGCCTCTACTGGGTTTGCATGGGAAGGTTTTGGTAACCGGAGGGGTCACAGGGGTGGCTTCTGTGAGATGCTGCTAGAAGCTTTGTCCATGTCCACCAGAGCCAATCCTGACAGCTCCAGGACTGACCCTTTCTATTGGTCAAGGCTGGGCCAATCAAGAGTTATAGTAGTGCCTCTGTGATAACATATTTATGAAGGGAAAAAAGTTATTACAGAAATAACTGCTGTCTGAAAAAAGAGTGAAGTATGTGAATGAAAGGAGCAGTTCTGTAGACACCAAGGTCATTGCAGAAGGAGGAGCAGGAGGTGCTCCAGGTGCCAGAGCTGGCATTCCCCTGCAGCCCAGGGTGCTGACCATGGTGAGACTGGATGTGCCCCTGCAGCCCTGGGAGGTCCATGGGGATTCAGAGATCCACCCACAGCCTGTGGAGGAGGTGGGTGCCTGAGAGAGGCTGTGACCCCGTGGGAGGCCCGTGCTGGAGCAGGATCCTAGCAGGGACCCATGGGGATTCAGAGATCCACCCACAGCCTGTGGAGGAGGTGGGTGCCTGAGAGAGGCTGTGACCCCGTGGGAGGCCCGTGCTGGAGCAGGATCCTGGCAGGGAGTTCCAGACCCATGGAGAGGGAGCCCACACTGGAGCAGGTTTCCTGGTAGGACTTGTGACCCTTGGGGGACTCACACTGGAGTAGTTTGTGAAGAACTGTTGCCTGCGGAATGGACTCATGTTGGAGAATTCATGGAGGATGTTCTCCTGTAGGAAGGACCCCCCCACTGTGCAGTGGCAGGAACATGTGATAAACTTACTCCCCATCTCCTGGCACTGCTGATGGGGAGCAGGTTGAGCCTGGGAGGGAGGCAGGGGTGGGGGGAAGGTGTTTTTAACATTTATTTTACTTCTTATTATCCTGCTCTGATTTTGCTTGCAATAAATTCAACTAACATCCCTAAGCTGAGTCTGTTTTGCAAGTGATGGTATTAGGTGAGCAATCTAAACTCATGAACCTTTTGCTATATTTTCTCTCCCCATTCTGCTGCAGAGAGGAGTTAAAAGAGAGAGGCTTTGGTGGGTTCCTGGCACCCAGCCAGGGTCTGTCCACCACAATGTCTTAAATTCCTCCACTTACCTCTGGTAGTCCATTTGAAGCTACAATACCAGAAGAATTCAAGAAAGGAATGAAGCTTGTGAAATACACATTTTTGACCTAAAAAAAAAAAAAAAGGAAAAAAATGTAACATTACCAAGGTAGAGAGTCAGCCATCCATACACTGCTTCTGCATCTTTAAATCAAGAAACTGAGACAGTTCTGTAATGCACTGTGGTTTGCTTTCAATAAAGCAAGAACAAAACTTGCTATACATCCAAAACACAGTGGTATGTAAGCATGCAAATACAATCCTTTGCTGGAATACTAAGTGATTAAACTGGAAAAGAACTACACTCTTTCCAGCCCTCTCACATTTCTGCTTCCATCATCCATTTGGATATTCAAAAATCAGTCCTTTTTACACAGAAATAGATTTAACAGCAGAGGGAAAGGTGAATGGGGTCTTTTAAGATTTTCCACAGAAGGAATGTGCTTTTTGCATACATTTTCTCATCATGGGATGCAGCTGTGAAACTCCATCAGAGCAGCCCTGCATCCATATGCTACATGCTGTGATCAGCCTGTAACTTCATATTGTATTCTTCACAAATCAGTTACCCTGGCAAAATTATCACCCAGACCAAATGGCTTGTTTTGGCTGGTTTTTGTTTGTTTTTTACATGACTGACTAGAGAAACTATAAAATGGTAAAATACCTTCGCTACTGAAGGTAACTACTTGACAGAATAGTTAAGCTGGCCCAAATAATGACACTTTAAAAAAAGACCATTTAAATAAATACATATTCCAGATGGAGTCTAGCAGCAAGTTCTATCAGACTTTGAAGTGCAGGCATTACCTCATCTAAATTACAATCATGCTCTTTACAAAGGATTTCGATAATTTTTGTGTCGGTATCAAGCTGCCTTGCAGTACGTGAACTCCTGTTCTGACCTCTTCTTGGAGTGCGAGCTGAACCATTTACAGTCACTGGCGACACAGAAGACTCTGGGAAGATATTCAGAACCATCACAAAGTCAGAGCCATCTTAAGAAAGAAGAAATTCAAGTTGTTAAACCTAGAAGATTCTACTTCTTATATACTTTTTTCAGATCTTCCCCTCAAATATATTTTCTTTCTCATCAGTTCAGCTAGGTAAGAAATCATCCTTACAGAACATCTATACGAAAAGAAAGTTAATTTTTAAATTTCTGTATCAGTATTTGGACACTTTGTTTTTAAAAAGCTACTCTACACAGAATGCAACAGCACTTTCTGCAAGTAGCTTTAACTGAGAATCTGTTTTGCAAAGCTAGGAAAGCCTTATCTTTTCACAGATGAGTAACTATTTTTTCTATTTTTAAAGAAGTATAAAACAAGAAGCTGAAGGACAATTAATCAGTGCAGGACTTAAGTGATGGTGGGAACCTGGAATATGGTCCTGGAGGGAATTCCTCCTTTCCCCAAATACCCCCAGACACGCAAGCAGAAACAAACAAATCCACCTAGAAGAACGTATCAAAAAACCTTAATACTGTGAGGTAAAAATATTTCATTTTGTTAAACTCAAAATAGATGGTTTAAAAATGTGAATTATAATAATAACATACATTAATATAATTAAATATTGTTGGTTTAAACTTGACACTGTAATCAGCATGCTGTTCTCACCTGTAACTTCATCTGCATCTGACAACTGTTCTGAGAAACTCTGACAAACTACACTGCAGAGGTGGCTGCATCACAGTCCCCTCAGCATTAGTCAGATCATAAAGCTTGGCATCATTTATCACAACACGAAGCCTCTTGGTCACAAGGGTTTGAACAATACATTGTGTAATTTTCTCAAAGAATGCAGAGCAGTTTGACAGCTCATACAGAGCTTCACATTACAAACCCAGTGCTTTGCACTTAGGACAGTGACACTCATATCTGCAAATTAATCTCAAGTGGCAGAATTTTTTTTTCAAGATCTGATGCACAGAACCAAACTGTTTCTAAAAATGAACTCTTATTCTGCATGGTTTCACTACAAAAAAATAAATCAGTGTGAACACAGAATTCAAAACCAGGTAGTTTCAATTAAGAGGCTTTTGAAAAGGATCTGCTTTATAACACCTGAAATAAGCAGCAGCATATATGTCTGTCCTACTAGGAATGACAAATTTAAATTCAAAATAGTACTGGAAGAAAGCAGGGATCTGCTTGTCCTAAGTCTATCCTTTATTCACATTAGAATAAGACTAAGGTTATTTTTTCTTACCTGCAACAAATAATCAATCACTAGGTCAGATAAATGTCTCCAAAATACAGAATTTAAAGAATATAGTAGTGAATAACTTATCTACTGTATGACATTACAACCTAGGTAGATGTTTAGTTGCCAAAGAAAGAAATAAAGCAAATATATTTAGGCTAAATATACTAGGGTTGCATCTTAACCCACCAGAGGATAAACTAAAAAACTGAGTCACATCCTGTGGCTTCAAATATTTCAGTATATTAATTCCATAGCTTGCTGAAGAAAATACTTAACACAAATAGAATTCTATCTTTGAAAGTATTTATAAATATTTACTTTCTCTAACCTTTTAGTGAGGTTTTCCATGTTTTAGATTTAAAAACTTAATGGGTAAAAGCTTACTGCTGAATAGAAGTTTTTATAGCGAAGACCCATTATATTTTTACTTAAAATAGTGACACTTGCAATAGTAAACAAGATGCAATAAAAGCAAAGCTGTCTACATTTTACCTCTACTCTTTTATTTTGAGCTGCTATCCAGTGTATATTTGTTTTAAATATCTGTATAGTCCAGTACCTTGTACATTTCTGCTGTTGTCATACTGTTAAACATCAATAAAGTAAGAGTCCAACACATCAATAAAGTAAGATACAAAAGGAAAATGTGGTGGTAACACAAGACAAACCTAAATAATAGTTCTCAGTTATAATCTACCCAGAACCTGAATTCTTTTACCAAATTAGACTCGCTGTTTTAACAAATCCCGAAACAACTTGTATGGGGAAAGGACATAGCAAAAATTATATTAAATATACTGCCACATTCAAGTAATCGAATTCAAGTTCACTATCATGTAAATTTAACTAAAACAAAAAAAAATGCATTTCAATAAGCTTAAGAAGTTTAATTATATTAATTATGAATACTAGCATGGCTAATAAAAATATAATAAATTTATTTTCTGCTTCAATGGAAAAAAAATTCTTACTGTATGGTTCCTTGAGCATAGCAGGAGGTGACAGTTTGATAAAATAATCTAAGACACAGAGCAACAACTGGAAAGAAATCACCAGGTCATCTTCCACTTGCAACACTTTACCTGCAAATATTTAAAAGGGTAAAGAAAACCTTTTTGAGAATGGCTAACTTAATTCTAGAAGTAATTTTGCAAAACAAACATTTGGAAGTTCATATAGTAAAACACTACCACAAGAATTCAGGAAGCATCATACAGGATGCCAGTGCTCTTCAAAGGCTATTGATTTTATAACTCATGGCGCTTCAGTTCATGGCTTTAGAGACAGCATACACACAAACAAAATTACTGTGTACAAAATCCTGCCCTCAGAGCTCAGCCCTGATTCTTCTCTTAACTGTAAAAGAATAACCTCTTACTTCCATGTAATCCCTCCCTGCTTTCTTTTTCTGTGGTCTCATGCAAGCTTTTTGAAAGCTGTTAAATATTCAGAAAGCAGGAACTGCTAGTATACAGTGAAGAGAAATTCAAAACATGCCATCACACTGTAGGCTCAGCCTGTCAAATTTTTATGAAATTACTTAAAAGTCACACAAGTAATAGCATGATGAGCACTTTCAGAGCTGCATTATTCCAGTTTTTCCCAAATTATGACTCATATGCCAGAGAAGATCTACAGGGTCATCACAAGACAGCCTGCATTGCCACGCAAAATTCAGGAAGCCGATAGTGGTTTTGAACAGGTACAGATCTACCTGTGCTCTACTTACACGTGCAACTTTTGTATTTATTTTCCATCAGAAGTAGCAAGCATCACCCAGGCTCTTCTGAAGCTCCAACTATTTTCTAGTAAATTTCAGCTTTCTTTGTTCTCAAGAAAAGCCCGGCTAAAAAACCTTTTGTGAGTTTTGCTTTATGCTTACACTTCGAGAATTCTAGTGACAAAGCTCCAAAAAAACTCAGCTGATCCAAGTCTGATTTTGATATCAGAGATGCATACACTTCACTGATAACACACACCTGCAGTAAGCAGCACTTGAGAGACATGATTCACTCCTTTTAGTAGGAGTACAATGAGACAGGAACTCCATGGACTACTATAAATGCTTCATCACTCAACACTAACTGTAACTTACAACTTTTCAAGAAAGATTTGTAGCATTCAAAGGACATGCTTTCAGAAACTTACTATAATACCTTATAATTAAATTTGTTTTATTAAATATAATTTATAATACATATAAGCTTATTTTTGAAAATACGCCAGTTTTTTAAGCTAATTATCTATTATTAAAATGCTGGCAGACTACAAAGCACCTCAGAATAGAGTTAAATCCAGAACAGCAAGCTTTAAAGTAAAAGAAAAAAAAATAGAAATTTTAGAAAGCTTAAGTATATGTTTATATACAGAAAGTGTATCAGTGAGAAGAACAGCCAAATTGTATATAAAGAAATATTGAGCAGTTACAAAAGCCAGGCAATCCAAATGTTCTGGGTCTGTACAATACTGATTTGTAATAGGGATACTAGTCTCATCCTGGACATGTAAAACAAACAAACTCACTTCAAAAATATTCATCAAAATTACTGTGTTTAAACCAAAACTCACCTTTTGCCAGCAAAAAAGTAATCCAGTAATTTTTTAGGACTAATACAGAACTGAGTTCAGCAGAAATCCTGTAGGGAAATAAAAATACTTTGCATTGATAGCTCTGTAATAATTTAAACTACAATGTTTGAAAACATGCTTCTGTCCATGGAACTATTTAACAACACACAACATTTCCCATGGAGTTAAGTTCACTAAAAATCTCATCCCATTCCCTCTGCAATTATGACTACATATTTGAAAAACTGAAGTCCCTGTAAAGCCATTCAAGAATCAGAAAATATCTACATCATCCTCGGAAAAGAGATTGAATGTAGACAATTTAGCTGCTCTGTGCTGTCTTCTCTTGTGTTTTTGACTAAAGCCCTACTCCCCAGCCAGAGCATGAACTCAAGCTCAGTGGGGAGCTCTTAAGGCATCTTTTAGTACACTCATTTGTTGCTGTGATTAGGAAGCTCACTCTCCATCCCAAAGTTTATTTCCACCATGCCAAGACATACGCCATTGGGTGGCAATACTTCATGGATGAGGGATAGATATATAAAAATATATATAAATACAATATGATACATATCTACTTATATATATATACACACATACATACACACTATATATTTTTATAAGAATATCTTATACAATATACATAACATGTATAGATCACATATATAGAGATATATTTGCAATATATATATAATTTCTGCATTTCCCATCATCTCACTGAAATTCAAAGTCCACACTAAATCTAAAGTAAACACACAGCACACTACAACTCAGGCCGGTCCTGAAGGGTTAAAAGATAACATGTCATCATGTTTTACATCTTACTTGACAAACACAATTTAGGAAAATCAAACTTACTCACTACTAGGTTGTTCCAGATAAATAAGGCCACAAGTCCTAGAAAAACAAAATAAATTATTATTTTTGAACACGCTTCCGCAAGAAAACTATGCAATATCTTTGACTTGAATGCAATTAAAAAAGAGACCAGATCACAAAACATTTTTCTAACTTAAAAAAAAAGCTGACTCAACAGTTAACAACAGATCAACTATAGCCCTGCCAAGCCTGAAATAATGTTGTTGTTTGCAAATTTATGTCTAAGCTTAGACAGCAAAACAATTTTAACTTGGTATAATAAAATTGCTTTCTTTCAGAAAGAAAGATTTGTATATACATTGTTACTCAGTCTCTTGTACAACACAGCAAAGTGTGCTACAGCTGCACAAAACACACTATAAAGGGTATTTAAAAATCTTTAGTATTACTTCAGTGTCACTGCAAGCCTTGTGGTGCAATGTTGCTTCCCAATTATTCTAGGTACATACCATTTCAAGAAAAAAATTCAGTTTATGCAAAACCAAACTAGGATATATATGCCTTCATTCTACAAACTACCAAAGGATGATCTACTACCCCTTTCAAAGATTATTTAAGATATATTTGAGAGTCTTTTGTGAAGCGGAAAGCAAAATGTTAAGTAAAAAAAAAATATTTAGACAGTAAATCAATCCTCTTTATATCTGTAAAAAGTTTAAAGTGAGTAGTAATCACTTGTCATGCTACTCTTACTACTGTTTGTACTGCAACAAGGGGGTTGTTTAACTGCATTGTGATAGTTATGGAGTGAAATGTAAGAGGTGTTTATTTAATGCATGTAAACAGCTCAGTTTCACTGTTCTGCAAATATTAGCCCACACAGTTTAAATGGACTCCTATAACACACAGTTTGAAAAATTCAAATACTTAAATGTTGACAGACAAAGAAATCAATTTCAAAATGAAAAAGCATACACTACCTTTCAAACTTGTGGTATAGTGCAAATAATACATCATATTTCTTTTTCAGCCTTGATACAGTGCTATCAACTTTAGTGCTTACAGTATCCATGTTAACATCCACCTCTTTCAGAAACTGAAAAAATGTGCATACACTGAAAAAAGGAATAAAAGAAGACATATTACCATAACTTGTGAAAACAAGTATTCTGAAATAGCTCTTAAAAAAGAGAGAAAATAAAAACACATCTCCATGAAAACCCATTTCTTACTTCACTAGACTCCAGCACGTTCTTACTACTATTACCAGTGACTGAACCCTTGCCTTGGGAAACATTACTTGTTTACCTTGTGTCCCACCTTTACATTTTCCAGACAGCAGGAATACTTTTCAGAGGTATCTCACGATACAGGCTCCACTACAGAAAGAAAATTTTCTTGCCTAGCACAGATATTATCTCTGGAGGTCAGAATTTCCTAACTAGACACACCTTTGCTCTTGTGCTGCTGGTAATACCACAAATATCCAACACACACCTCTCAGCTCTCCTGTTCTGCTTTAGAAACATTCTGACTACTCTAAGAACGTGAACCTTGGCTCCATCCATGCTAAAGAAAAACCTAGGTATGAAAACTGAGATTAATGCATTGAACTATATAGAATTTCAAGTCTTTCAACAGGACATCTCCACCCTTTGGAAATATTATTACACAAGGGATCGAAGTTCTCCCCACTCATCCATGTAATATTATGGTCACCAAGGAAGCATTTTGTTACATTCATTAATAAAATGAGCAGATTGCTAAAAATTAAAGAGGAGGAAACTATCAAATATTTTCAACTATTTCAACTGTATTGAATAGAGTTTGACCCTTTATCAGAATATAATATGCTGAGAGATTTTTTTGATCTTTGCCAGATTAAAGATACATGTCACAAAACCAGTCAGAAGTTCATTTAAGAACGCTTATGATGGAATAAAAGATCTTTCCAATATATTTGAAGGCTCTAGAAGATGACTAGTAGAAATCTCTGCCAGTTTGACCTTATAGCTGAGAAAAAGCCCAGGGCTAACAAACAATTGAGTATTGCATCACCATCAGCAGAGTAACAGCTTACTCTTTGAAACTCTAAGGGAAAAAGTCTCTCACTTTTCAGCACACATTTGTCTGTGGAACTTTGGTGGAACACGCTGGACATTGCTGCACAAATGCAATTGGCTTTCACATGGTTCCAAGGCAGTCAACACTGAAGAGATTAAGTCAAAACATTGGACCTGACCCTACTCTGGGAGATGATGCAAGGTAGAAGAGGGCATGGAGAAGTCAAAGCATAACAGATGTCTTCAAGGGAAAGGATATTCTGGCCCAAGCCTGAGGTTATTGCCATGACTTAGCTTCCTGCCCTAGAGCATCAAGACGCTCTGCTCCTGCATATGCTTTCCATACACAGCACAGAATTCTTTCCTTAGATGAATGTAACACAAGGTTGCTGTTTCCACCTAAATTTACCTTAAAAGCAGATACCATAATCTTAATTTCTGTATTATGAACTTAATATACAATATAACAGTAACAAACCCCCAGCAAAAAGAGTATATGGAAGTACAAAGTTTAGCCTGGCATTAAAATGCTTGAAAAAGAGCAGCATGCTGGTAAACTGTTTGAAGATTAACGCTTCTTTTCCCCACTTCTTGATTTAGGCTAAGCCTAATGCAGGGAAAAAGGTTTTATGCAAAATCATCAGAGGGAAAGAAAAAAAGAAATATTTTAAGTGCAATTTGCACCTACCTGAACCAATGACTACTTTAGGGAGAGCAAGAACAACAATTAGGTGAGTGATACAACCAAAGCCAACCAGAGATTAATCAAACAAGTATCACTGCTCCCTCAATTAAAATATGACAGCAAGACATCTAGTTTACCAATATATTCATAACTTCCATAAGTAATCTTCATTGTAAAATCAACTAGTCTGATATGCACAAAGACTCACTATGCCCTAAAAACATTCTCTTTATAAAAATGTTGACAAGTTAATTGTTGCAATCTAAATTCACAAACTTAAACTCACTTACCTCATGTTTATACTTTTCAAAAGCTCAGTGAAAGTAAATGTCACTTCATCCAGATCAATTGCTACAATAAAGATACATACACCCCATGTTTCCTTTTTCTTTGTGTTGCAAGCCTTTTTGAAAAAAGAGAGGAAAGGGTTTTTATTAATCAACAGAAATGGGTAATGCATGGAAGGCAATAATTTGTCCAAACATGATTAGAAATGGTTAAACTAAACATCCTCAAACAAACATTTGACTATGACAGCCAATTATTTTATAACAGGAAACCATTCCAGGTTTTACAGTACAGGTAAAAGACTGAGCATTTCAACTCTTATTCCAACAGTACAGGATCAATTTTACCCATACAATTCAGCAAAGCTTTGAAATACAAGCTTTGGTTCCATGGAATGTATTTGCAGAGCAGAAGTCATGATTTTTTTTCCTATATTACCATATTTGATCATAACAAAACACTGAAAGTTAAGGAATAAGAATCCAAGCCATAAAAACATAATTGAAATCTTTACAATGACAGGCAACAAACACTCATAAATGAGTACAGCTGTGTCAACCACTCATCACTGTGGTTTGCTGAACCACAAACCCATCTCTGCTTAGTAAAGTGTGATAGTAAAAAGCACTTCCAGCCATTTTCCTACCGTACATCTACATTTAAGGTCTGCCTTCTGCTATTTAGAAGGTGCAAGTTATAACCAATCATCCTTCAAAAGAAGCCAACCCACGACGACAGACACGTCATCCATATGGAATAGAACTCCTGATGATGGCTCACAAGCCACTCACTCAAAGCCAGACAGGCATCACTTAAGATTCCAATACCATTCCATCAAAACAGCAACACAGTGGAAAACCCCTGAAGAACAATGGCTTGTAGAATCATGGGAAAAAAACCCTTAAGTAGATCTATCCCTAGTTTTGGAAACAAAGCTATCTTGAAGACAGAACTAGGCATGGGTGCAGGCCAAAACTGCAGAAACAGCAAATTTGTAAAATACTTTTCGGACATCCAGCATCCTTGTAAATAAAACTGCAACATCACCCAGGCCCACAGCAAAGGAGCAGGATCTGAACACATTCTCCACAGCTCTAGGTTGGATATGACATCTGTTGGAGGACAGAGGTGAAATGGAGTATCAGGAGCAAGTGAATGGAAACAGTGCATTCCTGCTCTTCTACACTGCTTAGCTTTAGCCCACTCCCCAGCCTACTTTTTTATCTTTTCCCTGATCACTCCACCTAGCTGCCTCCTAGACAACACCAATGCAAGCTGCAGGGGCCTGTTCGCTCTAGAAAATGTTCCCCAAAGGCAGTAGCAGTAAGACTGCACCAGACTTAGCTCATTCCATCTTATGCAGTCTTCCAAATCCTCTGTACTGTCAGCATCCACTCATGTCCTTGCTCATTCAGCAGTGTAACCATGACCAATAACCCACTGTGCCCATAAATGATACAATTTCACTAATACTGCCAACATTTTGTTTTGTTGACAGTTGTTCTGTAACTTTCTTGGGAATGGTATTTATACATCAGGGAAGAGTGGCTGGGGGCTTTCTCCAAAGAAGAAAAACTTTGACCAGCTTGGGCAATTGTTAAGTTATAGATCTGGCTTCAATGCAAAACTAACCAGCCACCCTCAACAATGTGACAACTGACAATTATTTAAGTCACTACTTTCTTCCTGCATTCCTATTTGAGTGTTTCTACAAATCATGACTCCTTGCACAAGACAAAATTATTTTGAAATACGCTATTAACAGACTGAAATGCATTTGTTGATACACAAAGGGATGTAAAAAATTATGAAGGTCAATGCCAGCTAGTGAACTACCAAGAGGGAAGACTACTCACACTGAGCATATCCCTACCCCTGGAGTCAGCTGGCCTTGTTTATTAAATAAGTTCCTTTCACTCCATGCTCCTGCAAACTCAGGCCATGATGTTGTCCTGTAAATACAGCATCTCGTATTGCAGGAGGACTGAGGGCTACCAAGCAATGAAATTGTTCCTGGTTTGTTGCCTATCCAAACAAGCCTAGCTTTCCTGGGCAGCCTAGCTCAATTCTGGCAGGATGAGTGCTAGAAGGCCACAGCAATGCTTTATTTGATAGGAACGAGGTCTCTTTTTGCAAGAACGTCCTTTAAACACCTTGTCCAGTAAGGCTGGGGGTAACAACTCATTCGTTTCTACCATTAAACAAGAAAGCAGTCTCAGAGGCAGCCTAGCAATCCATGAGATTCAAACCATTACAGATGGCCAAACTCCAGTATCAGGACTACTCCCACCCATTGCTGAAGGTACAGGATGCTTTGGACAACTTCTCAACACAAGATATTGGATGACTGCTGGCCTAACAATAAAAATTATACACAAATATAAAATATAAATAGATTATGGACTGGGGTTTTTCTCCTAGTAGCAAAGAAAAGGTTAGCAGCACCTGAGCATGCCTGCCTTATAACATAGCTGAGATAGGAAGGAGAGGAAAACATGAAAGAACACCAGACTGAGACTATCCCACCAGCTGCTGCTGGTCAAAACACAAAAGACATAGGTGAACTGCAGCTTTCTCAGAAGATAAGGTATCTGCCATAGCCAAGCATGAAAATGCCTGTGATTTTAATCCATAAGTATTTTTGTGGTTTAACTCCAGCTAGCAACTAAGTACCACACAGCTGCTTGCTCACCTCTCATCCCCACAGTGGCAAGGAGTGTCAGAAACCCGCTTGAGAAAAGAACAGTTTAATAACTGGAACAAAATAAAATGCAGCAATAATAACAACAATACTAATAATAATTGCACTGGAAAGGAAAGACAGAGAGAGCCATAAAACCCAACAGAAACAAGTGATGCTCAATACATTTGCTCAGCACACACTGACCAATGACCAGCTCATCCCTGAGAAGCAATCAGCAACTCCCAGCAAAACTCCAGCAATTTATAAAGTGAGCATGACGTTCTATGGTATGGAATGCCCCTTTCAGACCAGTTCAGAACACCTGTCCTGGCCATGCTCCCTCCAGATCTCTGTGTGCATGCCCACTGGCAAAGCATGGGAACCTGAAAAGTCCTTGACTTAGGGCAAGTACTACTTAGCAAGAACTAAAACATCAGCATTGTCAACATTCTCATGCTAAATCCAAAACACAGCACTATACCAGCTACTGGAACAAAATCAACTTTATTCCAGCTGAAACCAGAACAACTATAAACATCATGGGGCAAGGGAAGGGAAGAAGAGGTAAGAAGATGTCTTCCTGGCAAGTCACACTCATAAGAACTCTCCTCTTCACACCCCTTCCCTCCCCAAGTTCACTTCTTTCCTATGAGTTAAAGTTGACTGCTGAACAAAAAACACAGCAGCATCACTTTTTCCAACTATTTTGCTTTGTTTACAGCCAAAGCAGATGATTAATCTCACAGGGACTTGAACGCATGGGAATGAAACGAAGACAAATTCATAGCCAGAAATTAATTTCTGAGGGTTTTCTTCCTCACCAGTCTGACTCAAGATCTTTGTTGATACAGCATCACTGCAGCAAATGGGCAGGGCAACAGCTCAACATCTGCCCTTGGCTGTCCTTGAGTTTCAGTAAGATGACTTGTGGTGACCTTAATTCAACTCATCATGAAGCAAAGCCTCCCTACCAATCACTAGCTCTAAGATTATTTAACACCTAGTAGTCTACACAGATTTCTTTCTCTTTTAATCATCATGTATTTAGGATTCCAAGGAACCTATGCTATAACTTTGGGCAACGTGGGTCAGTTCTATTGAATCAATATAGTGGGAAAAGACTTAACACACAAAATCTTTTAAAATATTTCTCATTCTGGACTTACCACTACTTTTATTCAATCTGATTTTCACCAGATGACTACTTCATTTAAATCTAGAGAAAACAACCTGGGAGGAGTCATTGGCTTAAAATGCTCATCCAACACGTAATTATTGTAAAATGGGATTCTTTCCTCTCTTCTTTCCAGATGTAGCTGAAAGATGTTAAAGGCACTAAAAGGAATAACTTCTGTTCTCTGCCTCCAGAGGTTCTCCAGTGCTAATCCAGTCCGGAGGAGGAGATGGTCACAGGAAGTCTCAGCTCTAGTGTGCAGTTAGCGATGTTTACTCTTCTGCCAACACCGATAACAATTTTGATGACAGTCTACAAAAGTGACCCAGGAATAGAAACTTCAAATGATGTTGTGTAAAAGAAGGTCAAGGGAAATGTACATGAGAAATATGCAAAAATAGATGGACACTTGAATCAAATGGGATATAGGATGTCTCACTGCAAATATCAAGCACCTGATTTTTGAAGAGGAAGATATGCACCTGGGCTTCCTAACATAAAATCTCAGTAACTATGTTCCAATCAATACAGAAAACTAGCTTGATGGTACAAGAACACAAACATTTGTTAGAGATAGTCCAAATGAGGTTACAGAGATGATCAGAGGGCTGAAGTGAGTTTGGGTTGTTCAGCCTGAAGAAGAAGAGGCTTCAGGAAGATCTTACAACATGTTCCAGTACCTCAAGGGAGCTATAAGAGAGCTGGAGAGAGACTTTTTGCAAGGACATGTAGTGACAGGACAAGGGGGGATGGCTTCAAACTGAAAGAGAGCAGATTCAGATCAGGATTCAGAACAAATTCTTTACTGAGAGGGTGGTGAGACACCAGGACAGGTTGACCAGAGCAGCTGTGGATGCCCCGTCCCTGGAAGTGTTCAAGGCCAATCTGAACAATCAGCCTGGGACCTGAGCAATCTGGTCTAATGGATGTTGTCCCTGCCCATGGCAGGGGGCTTGGAATGAGATGACCTTTAAAGGACCCTTCCAACCCAAACCATTCTGACTTTACATGTTTATGATTACAGTGGGTGGAAGATGACTGGAGAGTAGATTCAAGAAGCTCTCACAATAGAAAACTGTTTAGAATAAAAACCTGCAGAAAAATATCCCTGGAAAAAAAAAACCAAAAAAACAATCTGTGACCATTATAAGCCCTGTCTACATATAGGAAGTTCTGTGCAAAGACAGATCCTTCATTTTTCAGCAATACCAGTTTTAAATTTTCTATTGAACATTGTCTGGGATCGAAGATTATTATTAGTTCATGACAGAGGAGATCAAATTCAAATATAATATCAGCTGAAAGTAATGAAGTCAATGGAAAGTATTGAACTAGTAAAAATAGTTCACTGATATGCAAAGTTCCCATTACACTTTTAAAAGACTGGAGAGGTCATCAATCTCTGCCCAGGATAGGCAGAAGATGAGTAAAAAAAGAAACTCTCTACCAGTTGCCTGAGCTTTTAAAGTCCAAGGGCACATACAAGCAGTGCATCTGCTGCTGAGATACTGAATATCATCAGCAAGAGGCCATGGAGATGATTTGTTTGTTTTGGGACTTTCAGTAGCTCTTCTTTTTTTAATAACAGAGGATCCTAAAATATCTGTAATTTTGCTCATCCCTCCAAAGCTTCAATGGATTCAGGTTCAGTTCAGCTGCAGTTCTATAAATTAGAGACAAAGTCTAGACAGAAAATACTTTATTAGCTCATACGTATTTCATGCTTTTGCCAAAAGCAAGAGGCCTCTGTCATTTAACATGAGGATGAGGTGACTTACCAATTAAAATGTTCTCTTTTTAATAAGAAACCACAACCAAAAGGAATTTATTCAATTTAAATATGAAATTTTATGGACTGGGAACACTTGGCCTGCTGAACATGAACTCTTTGGTCTATGCAGACCAACCTTCCATACTTAAGTAGTCTTTATTTCATTCCTTAACTTAAGCTACAGTTTACCTTGTACGTTTTCTTCACTAAGAAAGCAGCTCAACTCCTGCACAAATCAACTGCTCTGCAGCATCTGCATACCAGTGTAAGTCACCAGTTGGGGAGAATTTCAGGATGTAAGAAAAGTAATTAAAGACAAGAAAAAACACCTGGAACATCTTCATATGCTAGAGACATTCTGAAGGAAAAGAAAAGGCAGCAATAACACATCTCTCATGGGGTACAGAATTGGCTGGTACAGAATTTTACACCACTGGTTTGAATTATAATAGAAACAAATTAGTACAGTACTTGGGGGCAAAAATAAATGGGCAAATAAAGCTAAACTAGGAAAACCTAACTATGCAGACTGCAGATCTTTCACCACAACAATTTTTTAATAGTGGGTTAGACAAATACTTGATAAAAATGGCTCAGGAATTCCTGACTCTGAACAGCTGAGCTGCAGCAGGAGAACAGTGAGCCACATTTCTCAAACAGTGCTATGAACAGCCAACATAAAAAATGGATCTCTTACCCACGCACCACATATTATAGCCAACTAAGCCAATGAGCTGGAAGCATACCAGTTCCTGTGCCTTAAGGCCCTTGGCAGACTCCAAATTCTATCAATTTCTTAAACCACTTCTATTTTCTTTGGAAAAGTTTGGTTCGAATTTAATCGCCAAATGATCTGTTCCTCACATGGATTCTTTCCACTACATTCAGCAACAATTTGCTCAAGCTTTTCTTTCCTGCTTATAACACCCCATATTCTATTTCATATTCTCATTTAGTTGTTCTCTACCAAAACAAACAGTAGCAGAACACAACAAATGCCCTGAGCTTCTTCACAGCAGTATTAATATGACTTTCTGGACTACTTCTAATATCCCTTACACCAGCAATCACATGCTGCTCACCAAGGTACATTAGTAATTCCACTAAATCTATTCATTCCACCCAGAATTTACAAGCAGTATTGGTTCATAATACAGATTTCAGGAGAGTTACAAAAAATTAAGAGTACAAGAGAAGCAAGGATCAAGAGACAATGTTAAGCCAACAACAATCAGTATGTAAAAGTTTTGAAACAAAGACTGTAAAAACTATAAAAGATTCTGTTCATCTAGGTAGCTTGGTTTGATAAAGAAATGATAGAAAGAACAAAAATATTTGTATGACACCAATGCAAAGCTCTTGTTTAGATAAACACTTCCATGTACACAATAAGCTTGTATGGGAGTTCACCAGATATCAAAAGAATTTAAAAATAAACATCTTTCTGATTAGACATCAGACACCTTCCTTCAGCCCACACACCAAGAGTGCAGATTCAGCATTTGGGATTCTAAGAGATTTTGTGTTACCATTTTATTGTAGAAGAATATAATTAAACTTGGCTGCCACAGAGGAAAGCTTTAATGTTCTCCAACTATAAAGGAAAACACCACCATATTTAACAGAGAGCTGTGGTGCTTTTGAACAATCTCCCTCTGCAGACCTGGTTTTCACAACTAGAGGTCAGCCACATTTTCCAGAAAAGTTGTGTTACCATCTCTCTTGTCACCTTCCTCCTCCTCCACAACTCTCAAAGAGGTTCAGCTGTTTCAAGGACTCACAGCCCAGCTGCAACAGGGTGCATCTGTATATCCTTGACTCGCATGCTGTGGAAACAGATAACTGGAGAGCACTGCAAGGAAAGCTACAGAGCACAGAAAGAAAGTGCAAGATAAGAAAGCTGAAATTTCCAAGTCTCATCACTAGTAGCTCAAATGCTCAAAAGAAAAAATATCAGAGTGGAAAGGTGCGACATCCTGAAGGAAAAAAAGCAGTGTCTCCATTGGGCATTGGCATTCATTCCAGGGAGCAGCAGATAACAGCTTCTCTCCTCCTGGTTGATGCTTGCCTGGCCAGTAAAATGTCTCACTGAAACACAGGCATATTTAGGCTGGTCACTACGTTCTAGCAATTTGTTGTGTATATGCCTGCCAAAAATAAATGCTTTATGCTTTTAAGCCACATGTACCTGGTTTGCAGAGTCTCTGCACATGCACCACAAGTGACTCAAAAAGGACAGTACTACATGATGTTTTCTTTTCAAGTCACTAAATATTCACTAAGCAAGGATACAGCAGATGTTCAGCCTGCATCCAAACCCACATCTGCACCCTGAGTATCTGCCAGTTACCACAGTACCTAAAGTCTTGGCCACACTGCTTCCTCGCTACCACTACAAGTGCTCTTCCCGTCCTCAGAGATTTGGCAGGCACAATTCTAGTATCAACCACAATAAAACAAGGCCAGTGAGCCAAGAAAGGCAAGGTTTCAGGTCTTTGTACTTTGTAAATGGCTTGAGAGGGGGATTCTTAGATGCCACCTCTATTTCCATAAGCAGCCTTATGATTTAAGCTTCTTCAAGTCAAACCAACAACACTGTAAACAGAAGTGTTCTGGGTAAGTATTTGTCTCAACTGGTGGCCTGCTGTTTAACTCTTTGCTTAAGAACAGAAAGCTGCTACACAGCTTCTGCTGCAGTCCAGAATTAAACAGAGTACTACTGAATCTCACTGATTAAAACACATGCAGTTGGTGCCTGGGACAGCCCCTCCAACATAATACTTTACAAGAGAGAAGAAAAGAGCAGCCTCCTCCTGAATCCCTGCAACTTGAACTAGAGAGTCATCCAGAGAAGCCAGGCTCGCCATAGCAGCTTGACTTGGGAAAAGAAGCAGCAATTAGCCAGGCTGTTTATTTGCTTGACTTCAGAGTCAGATGAAGCTTGCTCTCAGCTAGAAGTAGCAACTCCAGTGCCGTGCAGATCCCCATGGAAGCACACACCTGACAGCTTACTCATTTCAACACCCTGCAGATAGATCTCTAAGTTTGAGGGAAAGGCCTTGGACTGAAATATAATGTAGATATTTTTCCCCTGTACACTGAAAGGCTCTCAACAATCAATTTTAATTGCAAGACAACAGATATTAGTTATATATCATAATGAAGCTCTGGTTCTGAATAGATAATGGAAGCAATCTTCAGATGCTGAAAGGTTTCAAACACCATGTATCTTATCTGGCCACTGCTAAGTAACGATCAGTGAAAACAAAACTTCACCTGTAAATGAAATTTGCAGGATTATACTGCAACCTGCCTTGGTTTTTTTCAGTCAAGGGAACTGACTACTTCTGTTTTCATTCTTGTAGGGGAACTCAACTATGCTTTTAGGTAAATGTTTCCCGTGAACATCCGTGACCAGAAATCTGTTACTGAAAGAGCTGTGCGCAGCAGTCTCTCTTCCATGCTATTATTACTTTGTGATGTGAATGCATCAAGACCTGGTATATCCACACTGCAGTTTAAAAAACACAGATTACAAACTATTAGTAGTGACAGCATAGCTGCGACAGGTCAGCTCAAGTTGCAGAAGAGTAAGCAGAAGTCAGAACATGCACATCAATGCAAGTGCCCACAGCGGGAATAATACCCCACCTGGGTATTACAAAACTGCATCAGGACTCTACAACAAAGCTTCTGCCATGATTTAGCTGTATTATAGCTGTTCTCTGAGCCAGCTTGTTGACACAGCAGTCATACTGAGGAGAAGGAAAAGCAAAAATCAAGAAAGGCCCTAACACTTTATTAATCTGTTTGCACATGCCCAATGACTAACTTTGAACGGAAATGCCTCAATGATAAGCACAGGTTAACATTATGCAACAAAAAAGGAAACGTTCCTGTTTCTGCAATAGTAATCTCCATACCCTTTCTGCAGCCTCATAAAGTACGCAGAGAGGAAAAAATACACAGAAACACACAGTAAGACTACCTGTGTAAAGCTGACTAAGACATATTTGAAATAACTTGCAGTTCGAAGAATTAGCTGATCGCATGGTGCTGTTTTCTACTGTCACTTGTTAGTAACCTAAAAGGACTCCTGAACACGTACCTTTATCACAAAATAGCAACAAAAAAGGGCAGTCTACAGAAGCCAGTTTACACAGACGTGAACAACATGACAACATCCCACTTCAGTCCACCTTCACTTGGAAAAAGCTAAGTCACAGTACGTGGTGAGCTTTGATTGTGGGACCCTGGGCGGCCGCTGCAGCGAAGTTGCGGCTCAGACCTGAGCTGGGCACAGCACAGACTCTGCTGCCGAGCGATGCTGCGAGCAGCAGCCACTCACCAGAGCTCCATCCGCTGCCGACAAGCTCTCGTACGTCTTCCACGCTTTCTCCCTCACGCTCTCCGACACCTTCAGCGCATCACAGAGCACGACGAAGTCCGCTTCGCCCACCTCGACCCTAGGAAAAGCATCGCACATCGCCAGCGGGGACACGGCACCGCGGGGCGACCACGGAACCCACACCGCCCGCTGCCGGAGCCGCCCCGGGCTGACACCGTCCCGCCGCCCGAACCGCGGGAAAACGGCGTCACCGCCACTCTCCGTCACTTCCGCACCGGCGGCCGCGCCCCCGCCCCGCCCGCGGCCCCGGACTCGGGGCGGGACCGAGCGGCAGAGGCGGCGCGGGCGGCAGCGCGGTCCGGCCCCACGGAGCCGCCCGGGCCTCACGGCCGCCACAGGGACGGCAGCCGCGCCGTGCCTGACACTTCGGGTACTCAGCGGATACAGCCGCCACGGAGCCGCCCCACGGAGCCGCCCGGGCCCCGCGGCCGCCACAGGGACGGCAGCTGCGCCGTGCCTGTCACTTCGGGTACTCAGCGGATACAGCCGATACATCTTTTCCGTGAGATGGGAAGGAACGCAGAGCTGTGCGTAGGAATAACTACACAGAATAACTGTACAGGTGCAGAGCAGGGCAGGAATTGCGGATCCTTTAGGACTGCTGGTTCAGTCAGACCAAGTGCAGGGTCCTGCACTTTGTCCGCAACAGCCCTTGGCAGCCCTACAGGCGTGGGGCAGAGTGGCTGGAAGGCTGGCCTTCGGAAAAGGACCTCGGCATGCTGGTCAACAGCAGCTGAACTTGAGCCAGAGTGTGCCCGGGTGGCCAGGAAGGCCAGTGGCATCCTGGCCTGTGTCAGCAATAGTGTGGCCAGCAGGACAGGGCAGAGATTGTCCCCTCATACTCAACATTGGTGGAGTTGCATCTCAACTGTGTCCAGTTCCTCATGAGAAGAAAGTCCAGAGAAGGGCAGCATAGCTGGGGAAGGGTCTGGAGCACAAGTCCTGTGAGGAGCGGCTGAGGGAGCTGGGGTGTTTAACCTGGAAAAAGGAGGCTTGGGAGACCTCACTGCTCTCTGCATCTGCCTGAGCAAAGGCTGTAGTGAGATAAGGGTTGAGGTAAGGGTCTTCTCCCGGATAACAAGTGACAGGACAAGAGGACGTGGCCTCAGACTGCACCAGGGGAGGTTTAGGTTGGACATCAAGAAGAATTTCGTCATGGAAAGGGTTGTTAAACATTGGAATGGGCTGCCCCGTGGGCAGCAGTGAAGTCACCATTCCAGGAGGTGTTCAAGAAACAACAAGACGTGATGGCATTTGGTGCCACGGTCTCGTTGACAAGGTGGTGAGTGACCAGTAAAAGGGTGGACTCGAGGATGTCAGAGGTCTTCTCCAACCTAAATGATACAGGGACCTCTCAATCTGGCATTCACCCAAGTCCTAACTGAAATGTTATTATTAACACTGTGCAGTAAAATTACATTTAATGTAAGAAGTTCAGGCTGTGGGCATCTCCTGGATGTTAAGTCAATGAGGTTCAAATCACCAGTGCTCTGATTAAAAGATCTTAAAAATCTGCTCTGTTGTCTGCAGTTGCATACTCACATTCAGAAGGCCAATCTCTGCTGCAAACAAGCACATTTATTTTCAGACTTACATGATGACAACTTCTTAGAAAAGGAAAAAAAAAAAAATTGTATATAAGGATTCTTACTACCTGCACATATCTGGCATTCGTCTGTAAAGCAACTGCTTTAGTGAGACTGCTGTCAAAATTCTGGATTCAAGAAAAACCCAAATAAAAATCAGCATGAGCATTAATATGTTATACAAGTAAAATTCCCTAGTATTTTTACATTCATACATTCTAGTAATTTGTCCAGGCTTGTCCTTTATTTTCATTAACTTGAAACAGGAGAACAGTGTCTGGCTTCCTGCTTTATAATTAGAATTAAACCAATTACAGAAAAGTGAATACAGAATAAATCAAAATACACAAACTCCAAATTTAATGTTTGAGTTGCAGACTATAGTGGGATTTGGACATTCCTGATAATGATTCTAGTAAAACTGTGGCAGTAACTTTACCCTGCTTTTAAGCACATTTAAATACTTTGGTATTCAGATGGTACCAAATGCTGTGGAAGGTTTGGGGTTTAGGACTGTCTGTCATCAACCATTGAACCACAGACAAGTACAGACCAGCTTGGAAAAGTAAGCTGAACCCCTAAACCACAGCTGAGTCCATTGCCTCTCCTCACAACTGCTTTAAGAGCACAAAAGAATTTAAAATGAGAGAAAGCATCTCAGAAAACTTGGTCCCAGCCAGTGGAGACCAAGCCAGCTGTCAGCAAGAGGGAAACAAACACACCCTCCTGGGCCGCTTCCCTCACAGCTGCTTTAACATGCTGCTACAGCCCGGCCCTGCATCGTCCAGATGGCAGGCAGAGAATTTGTCTCATGGCCCTCAGTGCATTGCTACTTTTAAAAAGTTCACAAAGCAGCCTCAGAGTAAATACTAGGGTTTGTTTTTTTTTAATTGTTAGTGCACTGAGCACCTTCTCAAGTCAAATTTTATGCACTTTTTCATCAAACAAAGCTCTTAGGACTCCCCTCCATAAATAGGTAAAACCAAAATATAGTCTCAGAATGCTTCAAGTTACAGCTGGAGGGAGACAAAGGGAGCAGCAGATGAATCAAGCAACAATAACCTTTAATAATCCATCCCAAAGCCCTGGATATAGTAACTACATCTAAACTGCAGTAAGAAGAGGTAACATGTATGTACTTCCAAAGAAATGCACATCCTTGAGTAAAACCATATTCAAGCTGCTGCACCTTTTTCCCCTTCTCCTTTTAAGAGTACTGATTTGAATGTTTTAATCCTGTATTCTAAAACATCTTCTAAATGAAACCTTTAGACTTTTCAATAAAATTACAAAGGAAAGAAAAAAAATCAGCTCCTACTGGGGGAAGACAAAAGAAGCAAAGGAAACACTGCAATGTCAGATAAAGTATTAATGATAATTTTTGCATCTGACCTGACAAAATCTTCATTCTAAATATCTTGCTGCAACTGCTTTTAGAGTATAGGTCATGGACATATGTGAAACATTGTCCAGTCAGGCAGTCCTGACTCATTTTTTCCAGCTGCCACACAACCTTAGGTACTTTTATGATCCTAATTTTTTCACTTAAAAGTATTGCTGTAGTTTCATGGTAATTGCCAGTGAGAATTAAAGCCATTATTTCAGTTATAGTAAAATCAGTTTTCTGAAGCTGCATGACCAAAATGTATACATTAAAAAACCCACTGAATTGAGAGCTTCTGGATATTAGTCCAAATACTAAATATTGGTAGAAATTCTGCTTGAATAAAGCCCATAGGCTGTAAAACTCAAGGATTATAAAGATGTCTGCATGTATCACACCCATTTTCCTGCATGTGACAGGCAGAATTAATCAGGGAGGGAACAGAGCCTTTCCTGGCCAGCCTTTTCTGTGCATTCACATTCCTTGCACTGTGTAGCAGCTGCCAGCCCTTTGCCATCACTGTCACCTGGACAGAGCCCAGCTGTCCCTCTGGAGCCCCAGCACTAGTGCTAACAGGAGCAAGGAGGTGACAGACCTGCAGGCCAGCTTTTCATCAGCTGCTGCCCTACAGCCCCAGGCCTTAAGAAGAGCCTCGCTGGAGAAGCACCTGGTGCAGCAGGCAGACCCAAGTGACAGTCTTGCTGCAGGAGAGCCTCAGGGACACTCAGGCCACAGCTTGTACGGGCCCTTTGCACTCCCCAGCATCACCTCCCCGAGTAACGCTGTGATTGTGTTGGATCAGCTCTGCTTTTGAAGCTGGAAAGGGTTTGCTGGGGTGATGGGGTGAAACTGACTGGTTGTGCCTCTTGGTGGTGGTGAGCCTGACCCCTATGCCATTGTTTCCTACACAAATACACAGCTTGAGATGTGAGGAATAAAAACCACTTCTGTAAGTTAATATTTCTACAGTGATGTAAAGTCCATAGGGACCATAACAAACATCTACCCATTTCTCTTCGAGATGAGAGGTATCTGTCAGATGTTAACTTCTAACAATTCAAAGCCTCTCTCTATACATTGACATCATTAGTAAAAGAATATTTTTCACTCCACAGTTACACACATTGGTGGCTTGCTCTTCTCAGAGCACTACACAGGGCACTGCTGGACTCTCAGGACTGCAGTGGTGAGTTTAAGGCAGGAATATCTATCAATAAAGCATTTGACCAAACTGCCAGTGGGATCTGAAAGGACACCACTGTTACTGAATGGGGAAATGGCAATATGTAAATGATGCCTATGTGCAAAACCTCAACCCTTCACAGATAGTTCCAGGTATTTTTCTTGGACATCAGAGAGGTTTTGCATTGATCGAGCTTTTAGACTTGAGTGTCATTTTTTTCTCTTTTTACTCAGTTGTATTTCTTTATAGAAGAATCATAACTACTTATACAGACCTTCCAGATTTCTTGTTCTCTGTGAGAATGGCTGTCAGAGCTGTGTCTGTTTTAACAGATTTGCAGTAGTGCTGAGAACTAGGCTACTAAAAAAATAAAATCCCTGACTAATGCAATTTATCAGATTAAGCCCTAGTGACAGTGCAATTACATCAGACAAAAATGATCATTCCTGGTATGGCTTTCCTTTCTTACAAAGGTTGCTGGATATCAGTATAAATCATGCCCTTGCATGCACAGCTGCATCACACCCTGTGCTTTGTCACACAGGTACCACCCTGTGTCCTTGGCAGGCAAAGCCCTTCAAACCCTGGGTACACTGTGCCCCAGGAGGGTGCAGGGAGGGCATCCTGCATCCCCTCTGCAGGGCAGTTCATTTCAGCTGGTACTGCCAACTGGTAATGAAATAAAGATCAGCAAGCAAACCACAGCTCTCTTGTTGCAATTGCACAGCCAAGTTAAAGACCCTGCTGCAATCCCTCCCTTCCCGACCTTCTCAGTCCCAAGTTCTGCTTCCTCTCACCACGTGAGAAAGTGCGCGCTGGCACAGGCAGCACCCTGTCCTGCTGCTGGCCATCTCCCCGGAGAGGATGTTTCCCATGCCTCCACTTCCAAGATTTCCTAAGCCCACAAGAAGCAGAATGCACTCTC